TCTGACAGTATTTTGAACTTTAAATAAGTTTGATTTGGATTTTCTTTTATTTTTTATTTTTTCTTCCTTTTTGTCTTTTTTCATGGCCGGCAATGGATCGCAACCCTCAGTGTCGCGCCCGTACTGGACCGGGACCGGCAACGGGATCGCAACCCTTGGCGTTGCCCCCGCACCTTGCTCAGCCAGTGAGCGGCCGGTCTGTATGTGGGATCCGAACCCTCGGCGGGAGCGCCACCGCGCTTCCCAAGCGGCGCACTATAGCAGTGCGCAACCAGGCCGGCCCCTGGATTTTCTTTTATTGTTTGCCAGTTTATTTTTTATCAACATATGTCTTTTTATCCCCCCAACTTACTTGAAAGTGAAAGATCCTCAAGCCCATGGCTGTGTCTTTCACTTTGTTTTTTTTTTTTTTTTTTTTGGTCGGGATGTGACAACCAAAGTTGACAGAGATTGGAAGATGCAAGGCTACTGGCTTTGAAGTTGGAGGAAATGGCCATGAGTCACGCAGTACACACACACACACACACACACACGTAAGCTCTAGATGCCAGAAAAGATAAGAAAATGGACTGTCCCCTAAAGCCTCCAAAAGGAATCAATATTGCTAACACCTTGGTATTAACCCTGTAAGTCATTTCATAATTCTGACCTCCAGAATTGTAAAGAATGTGTTTATGTAGTTTCAAAGCACTAAGTGTGTGGTTATTTGTTACAGCAGCAATAGGAAACTAATGCATCACTTTGCCTTCATCACTCTTTCCATTGATATAATTGCTGACCAACCCCTTCCCTTTAGCACATGATATAGAAGGAACTGCATGTGTATCTGTGCATGCACATGACTGGCCTTTAATAATAAACCAAAGGTTTCCAGAAATGAAAAAAAAGTTTTGTCTCTTCTTGAATATACATCTCCAAAACACCAAGCAGGATCTCACTACCTCATGCATTCCTATCAGTAGTTGACTACACAGGCAAGTAGCTCAAGATGAACAAAAAAATGATGGAACTGTAGGGGAGGATCATGTCAGCATGGACCATACTTCTTTGTTTGACTGGCTGGGAAGGTCACCAGATGACAACACTGAATCCAACCAAAATTCACTGAGCTGAGAATTTTCCTGGGCCTGGTAAAATCCAATGGTACCTATGTGTCCAGCCTGTCCTTTCCTTTTCCATTCTCTTGGTGGGTAGTATAACATTGCCCCTCAGCACTCCTTTCTGACGGATCCACTGAACTTCCTCCAAGTAACCCCACTAAGGAAATGAACTATTTGAACAGGAGCTTCAATTCTGCGGCACAAAGACCAAGATCCCCTGAAGCCAGCAGCTGCATCCTCACCTTCTGGGGATCTACTTAAAGCATGGTGATTTTTCAATGGTGCTATGTTGATCAATTCCTCCCATAATGTAAAATAGAAACTGTCCTTTGGGTCAGTTCAGGTAGATTTTTCTCAGTCATGATGTAGGCTTTTAGTTTCCATTTGCAAGTAACCTTAATGGTTGGTTCTAAATATTTTGAGGTTACCATTAAGTCTAGAGGCACAACTTCTTCCTTGACAAGGGCATGTAGCTAGTACATAATAACAGGAACCACTTGGCTTTGTCTGTGAACAATAATGTAATTTTTAATGGTATCCTTACGGGAAAAGAAGGTTTCTGCATTTCTTACATGACAAGATTCCAGGTATATAAGATCTTAACTAAGGAAAGCTCTTTCTTCTGATGGTGACTTTATCAGACCATTTCTGTTGCTTACTAAAAAAAAAAAGCCTGGAAATGGGTAATTTGTAATAAATAGAAATTTACTGCTTACAGTTTCAGAGGCTGGGAAATCCAAAGTCTAGGGAACACATCTAGTGAGGGTCTTCTTTGGTGGTGGCTT